TGGCCGTCCATTCGACCACTCCCTATTTACCCCTGATCTCTCACCTATTTGGGGGGAAGAGTCAAGCCAGAAGAGAAGAAAGAGGAAGGAAGAAGATGAGAAGAGAAGAATATGAGGGAAGAAACTCATCCTCAACCACCGCCGGAATTCCGTCCGACTTCCACGTGACATCGGAATTCTGTCCGACTTCCACGGGACGCCGAAATTCCGCCCGACCTCTAAGTGAAGCCAAAGTTCTACCCGACGCCAGACCCTCGCTTGTCTCCATGTTTTTACTCGACGCCGGACTTCTACCGATTGTCAGACTTTCGACGGACATCTATCCGATCATGGACTTTTGTCCATTGCTAGACGTCTACCTGACGCCATCCTTTTGACCTTCATCGTCAAATAGTGGTCCTTCTAACTTACGTCGCCCACCGACTACTATCCTTTCGACCTCCGTTGCCCGTCGACTACAGTCCTCCTGACATACATTGCCTATGGACTACAGTCCTTCTGACCTCCGTTGCCCGTCGAGAATGGTCCTACTGACTTACGTCGCCCATCGACTACGGTCCTTCCGACCTCCGTCGCTCGCGACTTCGGTCCTCCTGACTTACGTCGCCCACTGACTACAGTTCTTCCGACCTCCATCGCTCACTGACTACGGTCCTGCTGACTTACGTCGTTCACCGACTACAATCCTTCCAACCTCCGTCACCAGCCAACTACGATCCTCTTGACTTACGTCGCCCACCGACTATAGTTATTTCGACCTCCGTAGTCAGAGAACGATCTTTATGACCTCCGTCGCCTGCCGACTACGATTCTTCCGACCTCAGTCACCAGACTATGGTCCTTCTGAACAAACGAACACGTCAACAATGAATCTTTGTATTCATACCATGTAATGTACTCAATATGATGTACATCAAGTCAAGACTTCCCCCAAGGAAGGGCCTCATTTGTAATCAATTGTAATACTAGTGGATTCATTCACACTAGGCTGGGCCCCGTGGTTTTTCTCCCTTTTCAGGAGTTTTTCACGTAAAAATCTTGGTGTCTCATATGAGTGCTACACACTCTCTCTTATTTGATTGTGTGCCGAATTTTCGTATAACGCTAAGGCATTAAACTTTATATTTCCATACCGTCGCGAATACTCCAAAATGCAACACTAATGTTTCTGAAAATTAATTTGGATCCATGCCAAGTAGGCCTATTATGGAAGCTATACATTTATTGAGATGTTTGATAGAGAAGGTGGTTCAACCAAATATTTTCCTATTTTAGTTGGATTACATCAAGGATCGACCTTAAGCTCGTATCTTTTTGCTTTAGTCATGGATATTCTCACTAGTTATTGTAGGGACAAGGAATAAAATATTAATTTCAAAATCAAACTATAATATTATATTCCAACAATATAGATAGTTTATGAGAATATATATAATTTTAAAAGCTGTCCGAACCAAAAAATTCACATATTTTGTATCCACAAATTACGAAATGAGTCCTTTATGCTTCCAAAAATTTCTTCCATCTAGAAATTAAGCCTGCCATCACGTATAAGAACAAAAAAATAGCTTTTGTTTCAGGAAATTGTGATTAAAAAAAAAAACTGAAGGCAGCATAAAGCTTCTGTTGCCTTTATTTTATCCCAACCAACCAACTTCAATATTATGAAATAATACAAGCAATGACCCTTTTTTACAAAATTCCTATTGCTGAAAACAGTTGAAGTAGAAAGATAATATAATGTTCTGCAACGCAGGTGCCCTTCAAAGCAAATCCAAAATAGGCGATTGTTCAGATGAGGGCGGCTTTGTCTGGCTTGATAACGATATTTGGTTCCTTCCACGGCCTCTTCCTATAGCAGTTAATGGAGGTGGAGCAAGCTTTGGCGCAGTACTGTTTGCTGAAACAAATATTGATCCAATGCCCAAATTAGGAGTATTTCCACTGACCATTTTATTCAGACTACTCTGCTTCTTGTTAATAGAGGGAACACTCTCCTGGTAAGGTTTTGACCCAATGACTTTGTTGTTGCTTGAAAAGTCCAAGTTTTGCGTACCAAACCCATCAGAGGAGATTGAATGACCATTGTTGTTGTTGTTGTTGTTGGAATTGAAGCCACTTGGCCTGGGCGGCCAATTGGCAAAAGGATCTATATCATCAAAAGTTGTAGCAGAGTTCAGATTCAGCTTATCATTAGTCACTGATTGGGAAACAAAAACAGACGAAGACGAAGTATATGGTGGTGGTGGCCACTGAACATCAACAGGAGAGCTAGATGTTATTTGCTGGTTAACAACGGCCATTGAAGGTTGCAAAGGTTTAGTGGAAAGAGGAGCAGAAGAAGTGGCATTCTGCCGGTTTATAGGGCCCCAGTCTTCATCCCATGCAGTGGTCTTCTTTGCGTCCTGGACAGATCCACATTGCTTCGGATATGGCCCAGAATGGTGCTCATTTGACAATGACGGAGAGACTCTTGCTTCAGAAGTTCCATATTCGGCTAAAGTCACACCTCGCTTTTCTTCAATCTTTCTGGGAAGAACGCAACGCAGTTAAACAAATTGGACTATAGATATACGTATAAGATAAATATTTACACACACTGAGTACCTCAAGATATCCTTGACAAAGAGCATATACTTGGCAAATTGCTGAACACTTAATTGCTGTGCCATGAGAAGTGGGAAGACTTGGGGAAGAACATGCTCCGCAGCAAATTCTAAGCCATACTAAACAACGCATTCGAGAAATTCAGCCACGTTTCAATATATATGAAACAACAAGCAGACTAAAAAATACATGCTGAATTTATCATAATAAGCAGGTTTGTATTACAATTGCATATTAGTAAAAAACTCGAGAAAAATCTCTTTTCCAAGGTTTAATATGCACATGGAAATATACGAATTCATAATTGAAAGTGTAAAACAAGATTGTCTAACCAGAATTCAAAAGGGTTCTCCAAAAAAAAAAAGAGTCAAAAGAGAAAATCAAACATTAATGGAATGATTTGCCTTAGGTGGAAGTAATGGTTTACCTGCTTATAAATTGCATGTAAAACTCCTAGTGTACACATTAGAGTTGGTGCAGAGTGGTCCACAGTTGTGCAGCGTTGCAAAGTTTGCAAAATGTCCAACACAGCTTGTCTATCAAGAGATGGAACTAAATCACCCAAGCAACGCAGAGCATTCACTCTCACCTGGTTAAATTAAATTTAGTATATATATAAAAAAAAACTTTCAATCTCTTATAAGCAAAACATCAAGATGGAACATAAAATTATACAGCTTCGAAGAATATGACTACCACAACAAATATGTACAATTATAGAATCAATGCTAACTAGATTAGAGAAGAAAGAACCCATGGTATTTATCTAGCAATACGAAGAAACGGTAAGTTAAAAAAATGCATAGAGTTGGTGTGAATGCAGATTTAATGAACATGTGAAGAACAAATAACAATTAATAATAAAAGAGAGACCTATTATTGGTAGCATCAAGGCACAGCTGAATCCAAAAAGCCTCAAGATAGATGCACAAATTTACCTGGAAAACAGTATAAAAAATACAATTGAAAATTTTCTTTTACTAATTTATTTCACTCTTTAATGCTTCAGCAGTGTATTTCATGTTAATTGTACCTACAATACATGGGAATGAATCACCTCCATCAAAATAAAAATCAGTACTATTGCAGTGAACCCAGTTACTTCACGATAAGTGAAACTTTTCCAGCCCAACGTTTAGCCCACAAATCATTGTTTTACTCTTTTAACATCTATCTTAGCATATAACTAGAAACATAAAAAATTGGAAATTTAAGAAATATAAGAGCTGCAACAGTCTAAAAAAATTATTTAATTAGGAAAAAATCTAAGGAAATTTATTTATTTATTTTGGATATCTTTTGTCTATTTATATTCCTTGATCTCAAATTTATTAAATATTTTGCTTAATTAAATAACTATTTGAAAATTGTATCATCAATTATGTAATCAAGTATCATTATCTATATGATCTCTCATGTGCTTAGCTAATTTAATTGATCCAATATTTTAAAAAAAAAAATTATTTAATTATCATAATTAAATTAATTATGTTAATTAGGTAAATATGCTATTGGTAATGTCATGTCATTATTATTCGACAAGTTTTATGCTTGCTGTCGACTACCTAACGCAACCCTCCACTTTTCTCATCCAGGACTTGGGACCTGACAATGACAGTGTTCTAATAAAGAAAGGTCATTTCTAATATTTTCTAACCAAGTTATTTTAGGTATGCCTCTACCTTTCTTACCATAGGCCAAATCTAATACATCTACTGTCCTAATAGGGTCATTGGAAGGCCACCTTTTTACATGACCAAACCATCTAAGATGACTCTCTCTAATCTTATCTGTCACTGGAACTACTCCAACCTTTTCACAAATATATTCATTTAGTTATCATGTCTCTAAGAGTAAATCCACTCATCCACCTAAGCATTCTCATCTTAGCAACACTAAACTTAATATTATGCTTCTCTTTTATTGGCCAACATTCTGCGCCATAAAGAATTGCAGATCTCACAACCATCTTATAAAATTTTTCCTTAAGTTTGAGTGGTACTTTTCTATCACACAACAAACCCGAAGCATTCCTCCACCACAAACATCCAACTTGAATTCTACTAATAATATCCCCATCTATTTCATCATCACTCTGAACAATAAACCGAATATATCTAAAATGAGTATACATATTAATGACTTGATCGCTGAAAGTTTCAAACCCCCACTAGATCTATTACTACTAAAATTACAATCCATGTATTCAGTTTTAGATCTACTCAAACGAAAACCTTTAGACTCTAAGGTTGACCTCCATAATTCGAGATTACCTTCAACCCTCTCTAGTCTCATCAATAAGAAGAATATCATCCGTAAAAAGCATACAACAAGGTACATCCTCTTGCAAATGTCTAGAGAGAACATTCACGACTAAAGAAAAAAGAAGAGCTTAAAAGAAAGGCTTAACGCTAATCCTTGATGTAATCCAACTGAAATAAGAAAATACTTGGTCAAACTACATTGTGTTTGACCACAAGTAACAACTCTTTCATAGATATCCCTAATGACTTGAATATAAGCATTATTAACCCTTTTCTTTTCTAGAACTCTCCATATGCTTACTTTAAATCAATAAATATGTAGATCCTCCTTAGCCTCTCTAAACTTCTCCATCAACCCTCTCAATAAATGAATAGCTTCCATAATAGACCTACCCGGCATGAATCCAAATTGATTTTGAGAAACATTAGTATCACGTTGTAACCTATGCTCCATAACTCTCTTCCAAAGTTTTAAAGTATGACACATCAACTTATTCCTCTATAATTTGCACAATCTTGTGCATCATCTTTATTCTAAAAAATATGAATCAACACATTCATTCTCTCCACTCATCTGACATCTTTTTAGCCTTCAAAATAATATTAAAAAGTTTAGTAAGCCAAGAAATTCCTTCATCTCCTAAGCATTTCCACACCTTTATTGAAATCGCATCATGTCCACAAGTTTTTCCACACTTAATTTTCTTTAAAGCCTCTCTAACTTCAGTTTTACTATTACGCAGACAAAAATAAAAATCTCCATTTTCATTTAGAGTGCTAAGGCCACTAAAGTCAATCGTATTCTCACAATCTTCATTGAAAAGCTTAGCAAAATATCTCATCCACCTTTGTTGAATATCCTCTTCTAAAGAAAGCACTTTTGGATCTTTATCCTTAACACACTTCACTTCATTGTGTTCATAAGATTAATTTTTAGGGTTTCCATTAGTAGGATTTAAAGTGTTCATAGAATTTGCAATCTCCTTGAAGGTTTCAAATTAGAGAAAACGCTCACGCAATTACTTAGCTTTATATTGTGCTTATCGTTTTTTTGGGTCAATTACTTGTAAAGAACATATGGCTCTTAATGTTAGGTGATAAGGATTGTCAACCATTGAAGTCTTAAGAAGTTATAGAAGGTATTGAACTTTGAAACCTTGGTTTAAGTTGCCTAGCCATAAGGGTAGGTTCTGCAATTATGTACAACAGATATAGAAGAACATGACCCATCCATAAAAGGATGCAAGCTAGTTGGGTGTTAAACCATATAAAAATCATTGTTAATTACATTCCTTGATCATCATATACCTTGGTTTGATAATTAGCATGTTTATGCGGTGATTTAATGATTAATAATTCATGTGTTACAGTCATTGATTTGTTCGCTTCTGCTTATACTTGGAATTATTAACTTTGTAATCGCCACCATTTTTGTTGCTAGGACACTTGCGTTGTATGGTTTGGATTTAATGATATAAGACTCATAAATATGGCTTAATCTTATATTCAACATCACACCTCTTAGGTTTTTGCTAGTTCAAGTGCAAGATTGTTTAATTGATTTAGTTGTTAATATTCTGTGTTGACGAAGGTTTGAGTTGGGCAAGATTTTAAAAGAAATTCTAAATTATCATCATATACCAAATTCAACCGTCAACCGACCCCTTTTTGGTGTGCCATTATGATAACAATTGGTATCAAACAGCTCGTTCCAGCCACGATTTCTGAATCGTTTATATTAAGCCTACAATTCTAAAGTAGATCTTACACAACATGCAGATTTCACTTTGTTGATGTGAATGGGCATCCTATGAATATTTTATTGCTGATGTTTGAGTTTTGAAAAACTCTAATTTTTTTATTTAAAAAATGTTATGATTTTAAAAGTTTGAAATTCGGTAAAGATTGGATATCTTTTTGTGTGAAAACTTTATTTTGATTAAACCATTTGCTTCGTCTTTATTATGCATTTATGCCAGAAGATCTAAACAAATTGCAAGTTTAGAAAACAAGAAAGATATCATTTATATGATACAGCAAGAGCGGGGAAAAGAGGAGGCCGGTCCAGCAAGGACCAACCCAACCATCCGCTCGTTCAGCAAGGGTCGAACCAGCCCCTTGGCTAGGTGGAATAAAAAAGAATTTTGGCACCTCTTGTGGGGCCCGACAAAACTATAATTTATTATGTAAGCATGAGAAATCAATGGGAATTTATTTATGAAAGTTTTAATTATAATTGAGAGAGAATTATTTAAGAAAAGAGTTCCAATTTGATTTTAAATATGAGAGAGAATTAATTAAAAAAGGGGATGACTTTGGAGGGAATTAATTAAGGAAAGAGGGATGATTTGGGAGTGAAATAGGATAACCTATTTAGGGCTAAAAATATTATCATTTTTTATTATGCAATTTAAAAAAAATTATTATGCAATTTATTTTGGTGTAGCTTTTCTCTTGGTGAGTTTTTTAGCAGGGTCTATGTTTTGTGAGAGAGCCAATCTACCTCTCGAATTATAGATCAATTGTACCTTTCATTATTGTTGAAGTATTAATCAAACTCAACCTCTATCTTCAAATTCCTACGGTTTTCCACTTGTTACCTTCTATTTTTACTTCTAAAACGCATCAGTATACTCTAACCACTATATTTGGAGATATAAGTACGAAAATCAATAGTGAATCAATCCTAAGCAAGAATGCCAATAAGCTTTAAAAAAATAAAGAATCACAATCCTCCAAACATAAGAGAAGAAGAGAGAACAATACTAAAAGAGAAAAGGAAAGCCAAAATTCATCGGCATCTATTGCAACCAAAATTAATGAAGTACACCACCCATTATCAAGTTCTCACTCAACATATGATGAAAAGAACGAGATAAATGGCCTATGTTATGAAGAGTTCAATTGCACTAGATGAATTATATTTTGAATTTGTACAATTAAAGAGATATTTGTGTGAAGAAAGAATATAATTCTTTTAATTATACTATTGATTCTTTGAACAGGTAAAATTGATTCTCTGTAAGCATAGCATTGAAAATTTAAATGAAAAATAATTTTTTGTTCATTGCTTCTAAATAAAATGCAAAAATTGAAAAAATAAAAATAAAAACTAGCTTATTGAACGTCCTGCTATTTGCATCCACTAGCACTTCAACTACATGGGATGATATCAGCTCAAATAATGGTAAAGTTTAATCTTTGAAAATTCAAAATACTAGTTTGAAAAGAAAAATTAATGTTTTATACTCACTAGTTCTATGTGCACACTATACTATTATTTGCATGCTAAATGTGCGTACTAGTGTCCTTTTCTAGAAAGCTT